GCTGTTATGTAAGCTGCCGTGTCTCTACCAAAGTAAAGTAAAGTTGCGAAACTCCTTGTGTTTTGAAGCTTTGATAGGTCATGTAAACGAAATGCAGACATGTCGTTTTTAAATACACATTCATGATTTGATGAGTCATTGAGTTTCATAATTCATTTATCACAGAGTAAAAGTTCTAAAGCTAATACACCTCTCCGGCCTTGTCACCGCTCATTGATAACAATGTGAAAAACGAAACGCCAATCAGACATGAGCTCATCACAGTACCTTTGTCCAACTAGGTCGACTACCACCATCTTCGATCACTTTAATAATCGTAACAGTTTCATCTGACTGGCAGCTAAACGCAATTCGAAATTAGACATGTATAGTAAAATTAAAATTAAACAACCTTACTAAATCCTTAACAATCATACCTTATATTATGTTAAAATTAAAGTAAAGTAACAGCCTATACAATGTGTCCCACTGCTGGGCAAAGGCCTACTTTATACAGAGGGTATCAGGGCATAGTCCACCACGCGGCCCCACTGCGGATTGGCGGACTTCACATATCTTCGAAAAATATTTTTTTTGTTATTATTTCGAAAATATGCAGGTTTCCTCACGATGTTTTCCTTCACCGCGGAGCACGTGATAAGTCAGCACTTAAAGTTAAAAACTTCATTGGTGGCGGAACTCAGGTTGCTCGAGTATATTGAATTAAAGGCGAGCGCCCGGACACTGAGCTATAACACGGCTCTTATTATGTTAACCAAAACTTAATGGTCAAGCAGACAGCATCAATTGCAAATGGATCAGTTTAATAAGCTCGGCTCGTAAAAATATTATGATGCACAATGGCCACCTGAATTATAATTTCATAACGTTATTAAGGCGGTTATTATTATAACAATATATTATCAGTTGATAAAGTTAGTTGGGTTAAATGAGTCCATTGCATAAAAACTCCATCCTAAGGGAGGAGGGGTTCCGGTGGGATAGAAAATACTTTTGTTCTTACTTTTTTATTTCTCCGTCTTAGAAAAAGAATTGTATGAATAGCCTACTCGTATATGTGTATGTTCCACTGCTGAACAAAAAGCTACTCTGTATAGAGGGTATTAGGGCATAGTCCGAAAATACGCAGGTTTCACCGCTGAGCACGTGATAAGTCAGCACTCAAAATTAACAATGTTAATGCAGTCGGTGCCCGCACCGGAATTTACTTAGGTTGGTCGAGTGTATTAAATTACGAGAGAGCGCCCGGACACTGAGCTGTCACTGCTTCTTCTTAAACGTCATATTTATTATGAGATACCCAAATAACTTACATGGACAGACACATTGGGACCAGCTAGTTGTATAATAATAGTATATTAGCTTTCTGTATATTATCTGTGTAATAAAAAAGAATTTTCTACCGCTTAGCCTAACGGGCTTCATTCCCCGTTCAAGTACAAAACAACTTTAGGGACTTCATTCATTTGGGAATAAATATTATTCATGCAATTGATTACGCACGCTAAATAATTTTCATAATTCAAAAACATACTTTATAATACACCGGTGGAATAATACTGAAATATTAAAATATAATATATTATGTACTTTTAAATGTAATCAAAAAATAGGATTGAATCGTTTGAAATCTACACGGATAAAGAACATCAGAACGGCTCGAAGAAAAGTCGTTAACAAATAAAGCACATTGGAACTGGTAAAACACAAATGGCTCTAAAATAAAGCAACTGGATAGGCCTTAACGAGAAAAGTGGACGATTTTACATGCTCCTTTTGCGTTCATTTAAAATTTCCTTCAAGCGCGCTGCCTTCTTGGGCCTGATTAAGATGCGGATGCCTTAAAAGCCTCGCCCGGGAATGTGCCGAGAATCCCAGATGTTCCCGTTGCACAAGTAAGTTCATTTCACTTTCCTTGAACACAACTTTAATATATGTACGATTGTACACGACTTAATTTGTTTCGGCTGCCTAGACCTACCCTCGCAGAAACATTATAATTGCCAATACGGACGATTGTAAATTTCATCGTGAAAAGGTTTTAATGATATTTGAAAAAGAAATAGATTATAAGCTGTTCCGACGCATTATCATTTTCATTGCCAACCTATGGAAAATTTTCCTAAATTACGCTGTATATCGAATTCTATCTACACGACTCTACTCTTCATTTATGTTATGGTTATTTACGATACTTTATTAAAATGGTGTTCCTAGTAATTATTTAAATCTTATATCGTATATTATACACTTTCTTTATTTCGAAAACAATAGAGAAAAAAATTCAGTTGGCCAATTAATTTCAAATTGTATTTGGCGTCTAATTACAACATATTAGTACCCATTTATTTTTATACATATTTATGTGAAAAATTGGCCAGCGAGCAGATTAACCTGATGTTAAGTTTCGGTGGCTTATATACTACTAAAATAGTTGAGGGTTTAAAAATAGTGAGAAACTGTTGTGTGGATCTATCCCAATATTTCTCACAATCAAAAACCAAGAAGCGACCTTTATTGTTATAATCATTTATTGGCTGCAGCTAACCAACTAATTACAATTGAAGTCTCACAAAAATATTTACTCAATTACACGTTAACATCAAACTAAGTTTGGAATGTAGACGACGAAAAACTAGCTTGGTCGGGAATCGAATTCCGCCCCGATATGCTGACATCCGATAAACCACTGAACCACAGAGCCGGTGAGTATCCGTCAACGTCACTCGAGATGTAACAAAGCAATACTCAGTACGGGAGGCCGCCGCGTTGCGTGCGAAATCCGCGGACGATTTGTCATCGAGGCGGGAGCTGGGACCACGAAATTCGTAATTGGACCTTCGGATCAGTGCCGAGGCACCGACACTCGCGGTTCCCACAGGGTGCGTTTTTGTATCTGTCAGCCGGCGGATAATGGATCGCTATCAATTACGGTGCAGCCTCTGCCGCATTCGTCACCAACGTCACGGACGGCTGCTCTTATGCCTTCCGAGTGAGGTTTAGACCACTTGGAAGTAGCGATGGAAAAAGAAAAGCCGGAATGTTGATGAAAATCAACAGTCTAACTATGTGCGTACAGTGGATAAAAATAGGATAAATACCACTTCAATTCCTCACCTTCTAAAATTGAAAAGAACTTTTCGGAATACGAAAAGTTCTTTTCAATTTTCCTTCTCATTTATCCAGACTATTTCGCTTTCAACAACTCAAGTAACCAACCGAGTACACATCCATCCATGCATTAGAACTGTGCCCACAATACAAATCGTCAGGCGGTACATACCAACCGAGACTGAGAACCCATACTTAAGCAGGTATTACGGTGCCCAGGCGTCGGGGCCCAAGCTGCAGACCGGCGCGATCAGATAAAGCTGAAACAAATTAGCGTTGAGAAATAAATAAACAGGGGGAGGCTGCGCACTTGAAATGCGCACCGCAATTAAAGGCGCGGTGTCTGCCGGACCAGTTCTGGCCAGTTAAATGGCTCCATTTGGCGCGATCCGCACCCAAGGCCGCGATTCGGTTTTAAAGTAAAGTTGACTTTAGGCCGATGCCTATACATGTCTCACTGCTGGGTAAAGGCCTCCTCTGTACAGAGGGCATAGTCCACCACGCGGTCCCACTGCGGATTGGCGGACTTCACATATCTTCGAAATATTTTTTTTGTTATTATTTCGAAAATATACATGTTTCCTCACGATGTTTTCCTTCACCGCTGGGCACGTGATAATTGAGCACTTAAAATTAACAATTTCATTGATGCCGGCTGCCGGCAGCGGGAATCGAACTCGGGTTGCTCGAGTTCATTGAATTAAAGGAGAGCGCCCGGACACTGAGCTATCACGCCTCTATCTGACTGTATCTATTAATAAACGATATTTACCTGTACGATGTAATTACCAACTAACTAACTTCGGACATCAGGGCTCCCACTCACCCTGATCCGAAACTGTAGGTAGACACACCGATGATGAGAGTGCAGCCGTTCGATTATTTACTTAATAATGACTCATGAAAGTTTCAATAATTTTACGTTGTAAGTGGTTTTGGCTAGGTTTTTTTTTATGACCGGCCATCTGCCTGACGTCAAGCCTCCTAGGGACAAACACCCAGATTCGGAATATGCATACGGCGATCGAACACAAGACTCCAGCGCCAAGGCTTACTTAAAGTACACAGGAAGGTACCATGGACAAACGTACAGACGGTGACCACCGTGGGGGTTTTAGTGGGTAAGAACCCCACATACAAAAAAATGTACCATCATGCAGTTCGTATCAAACCGCGCGCCCGACCAACGACGTCAACAATACATTTAAATTACAACTTAAAGTTACAAAACGAAGCGTGTTCAATTACAATCAACAGCTGTGAGAGCGCCACGCATAACTTAGGCCGTCGCGTACCGAGATAAATAACTCTATTCGTTATTTACCTCACGGCTCGGTTAGCGGGCGAAACGTTAATTAATTAACGAGTTATTATAGCGTTGCTCGTTATCGCGGCGGTGTTTCGCGTCTCGCGGCTTCTCTTAACACCGCTCATTGTTATCATTGGGGATCGCAAAAAGCGCTATCGCGCCGACAAAAGCCCTCGCACTGACGCAGCCGCCGCGGAATCTGCAGGGGACTCGCCTCATTAACGCTACTCATGCGCATCTCGGCTGCATCGACGCCAAACGTGCCAACTCCTCGCGACACGCACGCGAAATTCAACTTTAAAATACTCTAACATAGAATCGCTTTTGAAACGCAACAATACGCTGAACGGCTTGGCAGCGAAACGTCTGATCCGCTCAGCCGCACGACACCGTCTTACAATCGCGTTTAGTCTTAAACTCGAAGAGGCCACATTGCATCGTCACGGATAAAGCGCTTCAAGCCCTTCTGTACATAGACCGACGGCTATTCACAATTTGAGAAGACCTCAACAGCCCGCAAGGGGAGTAGAATGCTAGGTCGTAAGCCCACAGGGTCTAGAGAGCTATTAGGAGGTCGCTAAGCCGCGCAGGCTCGCGTTCCGACTGCAGGATCGGTGGACGGAGGGCCGATTAGTGTTTTTGCGCCGCGGCCGTAATTAGAGGCTATCGGCGGCGCGTATGAAGACATAAATAAAAGGCGGACGCCTGAATTAGCGGGCCCGTTGCCGCGACGCGCGGGCTGACTGGAAATTTCGATCCGTCCACGGAGATAGTTTCTTGCGCTTTTGCGCCACCGAGTGGCCATTGGGATTGCGCGCTGGTATTTTAATTAAAATAAAATCGCGGCTCCCCGTCGGCACGGGCGCTATATGCGGCGTTCAATGGCGAATGCTTTTTGCTTTCGGAGGGTACGGTACCCTTTCGAGACGCTGATAGATAGCCCGCTCCCGCCTTCACTTATTTATCGCTTCACTTATTTAAAGCATCCCTTATTCTTAATCACATCTCACTAGATGGCTCACTCACTCTTCAAATTGTTATACCCATTTAAGGTAAGCCAAATTTTTCATAACAGCACTATTTAAATACGATTCGCTTAATGTCAATACTAAACGCTGACAAACAAAATATGACTGCGGCAAAAATGTTTCACAGCTTATGTTTTGCAATTTTTATATATTTACCATATAATAGATATCAAATCAAATTCAAATTCAATAAACCTTTTACGTTCCTATGAAAGGTCGAAATTTTAAATAAAAATTAATACTATCGTACTTAAGTAAATTACCACCGGTTCGGAAAGCAGTTTCTGTTGAGAAAAAACCGGCATAAAACTTAACAGTTGCTCTTTTTTAAAAAGATCAGTGTACAATATAATGGTACAGGTGTACATTGGCCTACGTGAGAATCAACAGTAATAACTCCACACATCGGCGTCGTCAAGTATTCCGCAATGGTGTAATGCTTTAGCCATTAGTTTACCTTCAATTTTGCGTTTTAACATCTGATCAACATCTGATAATCCGTTGACGACTTGATTTATCTATAAACATTAAGAATGTAAGCATCTAGAGGGTTCACATGTTAAGTACCACTGTCAAGGCGTTATCAAACTTTAAAAGCGTTGGCGCCGGTTACGCCACTCACTAGACGAAACGCAAAAGTATAGTATTTCCGTTTCGCGCTTTCTTCAAAAATTGTAAAAAAGTTATTTTGGTATATTTACCGTGTATATATCCATATGCATTTAGTAAAAAGCGGTTATTTTAATATTACAAACAGACACTAAAAATTTATTTATCCGGATAAATCGATACATAAAAAGACGGATAGAATACAAACTGTTACTCAGAGATGTAAAACTACTGTTTTTTCTGTCTTATGTCAATTATTATTTATCGTGTGGCGGCCTAAGCCCTAACTCCTCTTTCCAGGCGAGATCCTTAATGAGACTCCACTGCTTATTGCTATTAGAATATGTATATAAGCTGTTGTTTTATTACTGCTGAGCAAGGGACTCCACTTTATAGCTTTAAGGTGGTGCAATGAGTGTTAATATTTTTTAACTATTTTGTATAAACAGTTCTGCTCCTAATTTCGTTTAAACGTCGATCATGTGCTATTTTAGAAAATTCAATAGAAATACTGGTAACAGTATAGAGAAATCAAAAACAAGTCTATTGACACTGGGCTACAACGAATTACTCAAATTTATTAACATAACGGTGGTAGGGCCACGCAACATTCTTCCGGGGAAGTACCACGATCTCACAGGAGACCAGCGGGAAGTAGTTTTATACAAGAGTTTTAATTTTATACATATAAACGGCGCTATCTACACCTTGTAAATGATTAACAAATTCATTGTTATTTCGAGTACAAATAGTTTCAAACAGCATTGACCTTTTTAAATACTACATCCCTTAACACATACAATGGTAGGTAACGAATACCGTTAGCAACGTCTCATTAGCCTTTTTAATCTTCAAACAAGGGACAGGTGTTAAGCAGGTCACCATACCTATACCAAACGTAGTTACACTAACATTTTGAACAAAATGAAAAATAGATACCTCGAGAGAGATAAAATTATACAAAAGTACATAGGATATAGGATCCCAATGAAAATATATTTTATCTTGCTTTAAATAACAGGAATAACATGTATACTTTATAATTTTTTGTCACAACTCATGTAAATAGACTACTTTTAATAATTAATATTGTAATAGAATAATTTATAACTGTTGATTGGTAATCTCAGATTATACATACTCTTTTGATGTCAACTCTGATCTGTTTGGTTTATGTATTATGTTTGAATTACTTTAAATTTGGAATGTCACTTTTATTTATTTAGACTGAATCATTAATATGACTTGTGTCATATTTAATGATTCCGTCAAAATTGCTTGAAGAACTAACATGTATAGTTGTCTGACATAACTCTTGTATTTTACATAAATTTCATAATGATTATGTTTCATCAAAAATAAATTAAAAATATATAAGTTGAATTAATGGTTTTATTATGAGGCCTTAAGTGTCTTTTTGGTTTGAAAGTGATACCATTTGCCACATCTACCAGTCAAGAATAACCTCAAAAAATTTAGACGATCTTATTATCGTTTAACGTCTAAGGGATTTCTCCATGCAGCCTATTCATTATTACTTGTTATACCGCCATTTTTCAGTTTAGACATTAGCGCGCAAGTGACAGCTCTTATAAAGTCGCGGCGCGGCGGGACTATGCTAAATGATTATGCAACAGACAAATGCATTTATAAATACAGTCTATGCGCATTGCACCGTGAACTACTTTCGATTTCCAAATATGGAAATTAAAATGGACATGCAAATTGCTAATTAACACCTCGGATATTTATTCGAAAATGTGTGTAATAATAATTATTACCTCGGCTTTATCGTAGAACTTTTTTAATGCTGGCGCAAAATAAAACGTCATCCAAAACTTAGTTTTATTTTTATTTTTTATGTGATGTTTGCCTAATCGAGTATCAAATCTCCTTAGTTCTTATACACCCGCTTATCAATTTCTAGTATCCAGTAAAAAGTCTCTATGCCAATGTTACCATGACATTTTTTTCAAAAGACCTCACCAGTTTTCCCCTCTTTGTGAACGTGAAATGTAGTAGTTGGAAAAAATCACATTCTTCACATTTTGAATGGAAACAGGTACGTATAATTTTTATACTGGCTACGTTCTGACGGGCATGGCATTTCTGAAACAAGTCCCTATGCTTGTTACATTACTAAACCCTTGCTGAGTAGAAAACGTGTGCACTAAGATGCTGTGTAGCGTGACGGTCGGGTGTTCGATCCCGCGATAGATTTATAGCGGTAACGCAAATCGCGTGCGTTGTTCGACGCCTAGCGATACAGCGGCGTTGGCGATTTCGCTTTCCGCTTAATTGGTCGCAACTTTTTTCACAGCGCACGATTAATTGCCCGTCGCCGTAACGTATCTCGTTATCAATTGGTACGGGAAACAGCGGCACGGAGTACAAATATTTGGTGTTATACTGTTCGCTTCTGTTTTTGTAGTGGACTGTATTCTACAGGGCTGATAGATTGAACCTTCGGAGCCTATTCATGTACACATATTAGGTACCCAACACCGAATTCAAAATAACGCACCTTGATAGTCGCTTCTTGAGGCACGTGGGCAACAGCGGCAGCGGCGATCGTCCCGACATAAATATGAACAGTTCCAGCTTCCGATAACACTTATTGTTATTCTATGCACCAATATTTAACAACCATACAAGGATAAAATTACAGAATTATATTTTATATTTAACCGTCCGAAAAGTTCGTGGCCGCCGATCACCGAGTCAGGAGCAGAAGAGCTCCCATTGGTCCACACATTTTGCTAGTGAGCGCGTCACTTGCTTTCCGTTGAGTGCCACGACTTGGCTTTAAATTAGGCGAGAGCACATAATGCGTGTACATATACCATATAATTACATCAGATTATAGCAGATTCGTCTGGGGAAATACCACAGCCTTACAGAAGTCAGGCGGGAAGTGAAAGTTTTATTCTTTCTTGTTTCGCACGGTGAATGAGGTAATCTGGGTCCGCTTCTGCGGGGGTCGTCGATGTCCATGTATCACTTACCATTTGGTGAACCGCCTGCTCGTTTCCAAACTCTTAATATATTAATAAATGCACTAGGAAGGAATAATGAAGAGGCAATTCTGTAGATGAGGTCGAATAAAAAGAACACGCTGTAATTGGGAAACGGGTAAGGTTTTGATAATTATATTAAGCGCTTTTGGATTACAATTAAAGGTGTTATAAGAAAGAAGAAAAGAAAATACATTTATTTACCAAAAAAAAGGACGCACACAATAAAAGAGAAAGAAAAACTAAAATTAACAAAAAATAAATTAAATAAAAAAAATACTTATAAATAATTCAGAACACAAATACATAATTAAGATATAAACAAATGAAAAAGAATTTTAGCAAACCATAAATAGCGTGCAAACGCCCTATTCCGGTAAATTAGGTTAGGCGCTCAGCATTATGCTATGCCGGAAGTCAAGGCCCCAACACAGCGCTGATTTTCAGTGCTAGCCTTCTAGTTTCATAAAACTTCTATGCCTTACTGACCCATGCACAGCAAAGTAATACTAATACCAATTATTATTTAACTTATTAAAATTAATTATACTACAAAAAAAAGTCTTTAAAATATTATCAGTAATTGTCAATTACAAACATTAACAATATGGCGGATAATCTCTCCTCCATGCGCTCCGTCTAAAGAAAATTAATTTGTATTTGATATTACCGTGTAGAAATTATGTACAGTTATTTTATAAAAACATAATACGATGTATATATACAGACACACCGAAAGTAAAATTAATAGTAATTAAAAAAGAAAATACCAAATAAAGTTTATGGAGATAAGACAACCTATCGATTACTTACTAAATATTTCGTTGCATTGAATATCATCTATACAGAAGGTATGTATCATTATTATTAGACAACTATTTGCTACTGTTTCAGGTTAAATACATTTATTTACCACAAAAAGAACATTACATAGTTCACTTAAAACGTGATAAACATATAGAAGTCTTAAATATATATATGACACAAACAACAGTCTCAGACGGATAACAGTGCTTATAAATCTAAGCAGATAGTAAGTTGTTTAATAGGCGTTTTTTGAACAATGCAATGGTTTTATATCCTTTAATTTCCTCAGGCAGTTTGTTGTATAGTTGCGCTCCCACAAATCGAATTTTTTTTTCCTACACCAGTTC